CTGCTGTTGATGTAGCGCCTGCTGCTGCTGGTGCAGTTGCTGTAGCTGTTGATGTTGCTGCTGTAACTGTTGTTGCTGCTGCTGTTGTTGCTGCTGTTGTGACTGCGACTGATGATGGTGTTGCTGTTGCTGCTGCTGCTGCTGCTGTTGTTGATGATGATGCATTTTCTGCTGCTGCTGCTGCTGCTGCTGCGTCTGCATTTGTTGCGACTGCTTTGACTGTTGGCGAGGCTGCTGCGAATGAGACCGCTGTGGGTGAGGCTGTGGTGGGAGATGGTGAGGTGGAGGTGGTAGAGTACCAGGAAGAAGAGGACCCATCTCCAGCCCGTTGAAGATCACCTGGCCAGGGTTTGAGTATCTGGTTGGCACTGGGTACGGTGTTGCAACTGCATCCTGGCCGTGATCGGTGACAGGGGAAGAAGCTGCAGCTGCTGCAGCTGCCACCACTGCAGTGGCTGTGGGGTTGGTCAAGACGTCGAGCTGAATATTCTGATTGGCCAGGAGAGACTGAACCAGGCCGATACTCTGAGTCGGGGACATGGCCTGAGCTGGGCTGTGGATGGGAGCGATGGGAATGTTGACCGTACAGGGAGGATTGTCTCCTGCCACTCCAGACGGCCCCATAACTTTATAAAAACAAAGAATACAGAGTTGGTGAAAACTCATGAACAATAATTTCCTTAAATCTGAGAATATGGTACTTTTATTTATTCACACCTGGTAAATCGTCCTCATCTTCACTGAACACATTAGGGTTGAACACGGGCAGGCTCATGAAGTCGTGAGAAATCTTTCGCACTTCCGGCAGGTAGATCGTCATCTGCCTCGGTTGCAAATGAAGTAAACTGGTCTTATAGATGACTAAAAGATAGAAAAAAATGATTATGACTCGTAAATTAGTCCGAATTATGAACGTCATGTGTATGTGCAGCTTTTAACATTGATTTATTTACCTGCTCCCAGGTTGGCGGGGAGGAACGATGCAAGTCCGACAATTTTGAACTTTGTCCCCCATATGTTGGATGTGACTTGAGCAAGGTAGTTGTGCTGTGAAACGTAGAGAATGGATATAAAATTAAAAATTAAAAATAAGTATGAGCCTAAAGACAAAATGATCTGTTAATATGTATAATTATAATTTATTTCATTTTTCATAAATATTTATATAAAAATAAAACAGTTATTCTTTTATGAAAACAAAATTATTGTAATGGCCAAGACAAAATTCTGATGCAGACACTCCAGTATGATTTTATGTACAGGTCATACAGATTAAATAGTAGACAGTCTTCCCAGCATATCATACCTCTGTGATTCCATCCATAGAAAACTCCCGTCGAGTCAGACTGGGAGATCGAACTGGAGGCTTCTTTGTTGGTAACCGTGGTGACCGCTGGCCTTCCTGATTGGCCCGTGAGAGTTTGGGCGATTTTCTTAATTCTATGTTCATCCTTTGGAACAAAAAGGTTAACATTTTTTAGTTATCTTCCCCTTATGTGAAATATGAGAATTATCGTGGTGAATCAAAGGCCTGTGTAAAGTGAATTTATATAATTTCTGACCTGTTTCCTCTGGATAACTTTGGTGACTTCTTCCCGACCCACTCGTCGCTCAACTCAATGTCACTGGAGTCAGAGCAGTTACAGCTGTCGGCGTATGAGATCATGGGGTTCACACACACCTCCTCTGAAAAGACAAACACAGTGAACGGGATTTGAATAAAGTCTACAATATCTATCAAAAGCAAGAAAACGTTTGTTGGGACCTCAGACCTAAAGCGACTGCCCGGTCATTACACAGACTGTTCCTGCATCAGGCCTGAGACCATGTTACGTCAGAGAGGAGCCGTCATCACTGCAGAGAATGTTTGTTCTTATTCAAGGTGAACGATGGCCACACAGCATGAATATGTCATTCTACAATGGAGCACAAGCTGGATGAAAAGGCACAGATTCTATTTCAAGACGACAAGGAACAGGATTTCTGACCTTTAAGCAGGTCTGCTAACGAGTCTACTGGAATTTTCTGTCTGAGCACGAGCTATGGAGCTAATGCCAAGAGATGATTAAAATGTACATTACAGATCATCGAGCAGACACTTTTATCCAAAGAGACTTACAATAAGTGCATTCAACAGTACAGAAGCATGAAGACTGGAAGCTGGAGGAAAAGCAAAGCTGAAAACATACAAAACCAGAAGAGCTTATCTAAATGCTACCACTTTCAATGCCAAACTAAGCAGCTCATCTCATTTTACAGGAAGACAACAAGCATATTTCCCCAAAAATGTCTTCTTTTTATTGGAAAATTCCAGATGCACCTCGGCAACATCTACCAAAAACAATATGTTGTGTTCTTATCAGTTCAATGTGAATATCCTCACCTGCTTTGCTGTCTGTTTTTGGATCCATGATGATGAACTCAGGCCGTAGTTTGCTGATCCTCCTTCCTTTGAGAATAGGCACCAGCCCTCCTAAATATTCCAGGTAGAGAGTGTAGCAGGGTCCGCCTGCCTCCGGGCTGTCTTCCGCCCGCTTCATGGTGCAGTGGAGCCTCTCGTTGCCCGCGGTGGGATAGCTGACAAAGTCCCGGATGTTGTTGGGGTCAGGGATTGGGGGCTAGAACAAAGAGAGGAAAGGGCTGTGAGATTTCTGGACACTCATATGAAAACATGTCGCTGTCATCAGTTTTTTGAAAGTGGGTTGTCTAGGATTGCTTCTCAGCAGGGATCGCTTCACCTTGATGGTCGGTATGAAAGCAGTGGTGACATAAGAGCAGAGCAACGACGGCATGTTGAGTTTCCCCACATCTTTCTCCTCTCGCAGGGCGCTGGCGATGCCCTGCTGGCATAAGAGCTGGAGGCTGGCGACCCTGTGCTCCACACGCACCACGTACAGAGCTGGTCCGCAGGCAAGGAAGAGACGAGAGTCTCTGTGACCCCAACAGATGGTGGTGATGGGCCTCTGAAAAAAAAGATCCACAACAAAAGAGCTCATCCATTTTTGGTTAGGTTCTAAATTCTTAGTGAGTTATTTCGTAGCCTCAGTAATTTTTCACACTTTTCACGTATTGAATTAAGCTCCTAAAGGTGAAGTGCTTCTGTATTGAAAGGTGCAATGGAAGTAAAAGTCTCAAAACTTTAAATACTGAAACAGAGGCTTCTGACTTTGTTTATCATTTATTCTAGTGTGATGGAAATCAACTGAAGAAATGAACATATCATTTTCATGCCATAACAGCTAATCAAAAAAGACGTCTTATGGCATGATCACACAAATGCAAAACCAATATTACAGGTCAAAGGTCACGTCTACTGGACAACCCCCTTTTCCCCTCCAATTTAGGTAAGACCAACCTGTGCCGGTGTCTCCAAAGTGTAGATGTGTTCTCCTTGGACGTTATAGAACTTAACAAGGGCGTTCTTCATGATGGATGCACACACAGAGTCGGGAGGAAGCCCGTGTCTCTCCATGCCGGCCACAGCCAGCAGATCTCCCTGGGAGCACCACTGGGCCTCAACATCTGTGAACCCAAAAAAAAAACATATTCAAGAAACAGATGATGAGCACTAAGACATATCTCATTGTGACATTATTTCTTTTACCTTTCAGCCCTGAGCGAATTACAGCAGGAGAGAGGTCATCGTAGTTGTTCATCAGACTGATATCTCCCGATAAGAAGGTGACTGTTAACAGTGGCTTGACTCGCCGCACTTGGAGGAAAACAGAAGAATAAATTCAGTTAACTGAAGGTGGCGAGTTGTCATATGAGCAGAGGAGGGGTGTGTGTGTGTCTGTGTGTGTGTGTTTGTGTGTGTGTGTGTGTGTGTGTGTGTGTGTGTGTGTGTATGTTTGTGTGTTTGCACCTAAAGGCAGAATATTGTCGTCAGAGTCTGTGTCACTCTCTGTGCTGTCCTCCACCAGGAAATTCGGGCAGTTCCAGGACATGCTCACGATCCCGTCAGACTCATGTAACAGAACATGGGCAAGCATCCGGCCGTGGCAGTCCATTACTATCACCTGCCCATCTGCTGTACCAAACAACACCTGAGGGGGCAGTGTACATTAAAGGTTCAGGGTGTGAGATTTAGGTGAAAGGGATCTTTTGGCAGATATTGAATATAAAATAATCCTACTGATGTTTTCACTACTGTGTTTCATCTTAATTGTACGAACTGTTGTTTTCTTTACCCTCGAATGAGCCCTTTATATTCAAATACCTTATATTTACATGAGCAGGTCCTCTCTACGGAGGCTGCCATGTTTTTTACAGTAGGTTAAACTGGACAAATTAAACACCTTTTGAGTTTTTATGACATCAAGTTTGTGTTACTTCAAGCCGCTGATGCGTACCTGCTGATCATCAGGGGTCCAGATGCCACAGGTGATTTGACTCTCCAGGTTAATCTCTGAGGACCAGTGTCTTTGTCCACTGACTGAGCCGACTAACACGAAGCCGTCCCTGTACGCGATAAGGGCTTGAGTGCCGTCATGTGACCAGGTGAAGTCACTCACCTGGTGGAAAGAAATGTTCACTGTCAATGCATTTGTGTAAAAATGATAATTATACAGCGGAAATATGTGTAACAGAGTCCAATGTGCATTTGTACTAGGTGTTATTATAATTACACACAATCTGTATCAAAAATTATTACCTGACATATATAGGCCTCAATAGAAGCCTATATAAAATTGTGTCGCCTCTATCTTTTCTATTGTTGTACTCCATGGGAGAGGCACGTTTAAAAATCCATATTTTAGCCTCTGTCTTATTATTTTTACACACAAGCTTAAAGTGTAATATGCTAAAATATTTCTGTTGTTTAATTTGTGTAGGGGCTCCACATGAAGATAAATTGAGTGGAGGATTTTGTTGTTTGAGTTTTATATTGGTATTGCTATACCTGGGCTCCTCTGTCGTTCACTAACTCCACAGACCATCTTCCTTCATACTGGATCCACACAAAAATACCTCCCTCCATATCGCAGGTGGCCAGCTTCTGAAAGGGCTCATTCCAACGCACCAAGACAACCTATAAAAAGCACAAAACACAGCTCCTCTTACTATTTTTCACAAGCGCAGGTGGCTGCCCGCACAGAGGAATTAATGATTAATATCCAGCACGAGCATAATGGCAAAAAAAGCATTTTAAATTCAACACAGATGGAAGGGAATAGCATAGAGACACAAAAGTCAATAAATATGTTCTAATAATAATAAAAATAATGCATTTGCAAACTGTCACCTCCTGTGTATCTAGCAGTTTGATGTGCAAATATGGACATGATGTTCCCATCACCTGAATCCGTATATTGAATGCATCTACAGTATGTGGCTTTTACACTATATCTTATATTGCATATACATTTATTTTTGTTTTAGTGTGTTTTTGCCCATTTAGATTCTGTGAATTGACAGATTTTTTACGTATTACCCCGGGGAAAGATGTTATCATTGCAATTCGTTTGTCTGTCTCTTAGCGGGATTACGTGAAGGGAAAAGGAATTTTTTTCTATGTGGAACATGCTTTTATGTGTTTAACTTCTATTTCAGTAAACACATATCGCTGAAAAAAACGTTGCTGAGGAGAGTGGTAACGCTGAAGTGAATATACGGCACCTCGCTGTTGTGTCCTCGTAGGTTAAAATTGATTCTCTGAGGTGTACTCCTGTCTCTCCTGCAGTGACTCGAAGTAAACGTCACCCCAACGACTCCCCTCCCGTTCCCCGTGGCGAGCCAGCCCTCCTCATAGTACCGTCTCCGACAGACCGGCTTGTCCTTCTCGCTCTTGGGGACCCGGCCTTTCCACGAGAGGCAGAGGATGTTGGAGTCGCTGCAGAGGATGGGACCATGTTCCACGGCAGCCAACATCCCTACTGAGTGACCAGGCTGGTGATGTGGGCAAAGAGGAAAGTTAGAGCTGCTACACTATGGTTGATTTCATAATAAAACTGGATAATGTGCATTGTTCAGTTCATTGTCAGCCCGTGGCTCCACTTAAATACTAAGGATGTACAATGTTGGCTGTTGTCATGGTCAGCATGAGGCGAGCTGTGGTTACTAATGTAGGGAATCATCAGCAACAATGGGGTATACCATGTAGAGAAAGACTGTAAATAAATATGACTGAAAGTTTATTCTGGGCTGGGGATCAAATAGTCTCCTCAAGGAAGATCAAGCGAAAGCTCATACGCTCCACAACAGCTACTAAATGGACCATGTTTGGTCAGATTCTATTTGCGTAGTCAGGAATACACTTTAATCTCACTCTTTTAACCCAGCATGAATAATATGTGCTTACAATACTCAGGAAAAATGGACTTTAAACTCCATCTGCTGATGAAGATCATGTGAAAAGCCTAAAAGCTCCAGAACAGCCTCTAAATGGAACTTGTGGTGAGAATTTTCTACAATCTAATGAAATCTTTGCAAAATGGCTAGTCATGGAAAATATAGTACGTTATGTGCTTATGTGCAATTCTGTCTGTGGTGTTCAAGATTTGTAGGTAATGTATTTTCTATTGCATTTTACTAAATGTATACTATGTATTCTAGATAATTTATGCTGTGATAATTTAATGAACAATAGCTCAAGACCAGTGATTAAACAGTTTTTCTGTTGCACACCATGGACATGACTATTTGATGAAGGTGTGGTCTAACATTAAAGTCTTTGGTCTGAACGTGAGAAGTTGAAAGTTATAGAGGAAATGACTTTCGATCTACTCATGTACCTCACACATATCTACTTTTGCAGATGTCATCTTACAGAGATTCACAAATCAGTTGAAACGTGTGTTCCATCCTTATGGGTCTCATGAAGATAATCACCATGGTGGCATCTCAAGCTGCTGTTCTGTTATTCACTGAGTACAGAGCAGCTGTGAGATTTGTCTGTACATTACATCATCACTACAGTCTGTCTCATGTTTGTCCAAAAAGGAAATATCGTATGAATTCCATTTTAGGGCAAAATGCAAAGCCTGTAAAAATAATAAATTTCTGGCTTTGTTCATTTTGATTAATAACATATGAGATTAAATGCTTTAACCAGAATATGTGAAAAGAATGTGTCTAAAAGGTCAACCATGGAAATATATTTATTCCCCCTTAATTAGCTTTAGATTGTTAAAGATCATATTGTTCCACTGTCTGAGAACATTGTGTATTCCCTATCGCTTTATTGAGGAGACATGATGTTTATACTAAATATAAAATAGTGGCACATTCTGCTACAAATAAATATTCTAGTTTTAAGTGTTTCTTACTTGATATTTTGGAAACTGTTGGATTAGTCCTTCAATATAAAACCAAATGTTGTGAGTCCGAATAACGTTTGGCTGCACATTATGGCCCACAAACAGGTGAATCATGCAGTGTGTTACAATCTTTTATGAAAATGGCAAACGGATGATAACATTAATCTGTGATTCGACAAGAATTGAACATACCTCATGGTTCCTGGACATGTTGAGTCAAAATCCCTCCATTGAAGGTGTCCATATTTCCATTCAATTGCTGCACTGAAGGGTAATGGCTGCTCTGCTCTTGCTACTTGCACAATAATCTACGGGCAAGTGAAATGCATCATACAGGCAGATGTCGTCCAGCTCTATATGTTCATTAAATCAAGCAGCTCTGCTCTTCAGAGTTTGCCATGAAAAGATGTGAGGCTTCTTTTAACGCCAGGCGGCCCATCCCTGGTCTTCCAGGTGGGAGAGTTGTGCAAAAATCCTGATAAAAAAGGGATAATCATTCAACAAGTAAAGAAAGAGAGAAAGAAAGAGAGGGACCAAGATGAGTGTTGCTTTAAATAGACGCGTTGTCATTCAGTGCATCAACCTTGGATTTCACAGTTTCTCTCGGTCTCTATGCAACAGCATCACTGCATTGGAGACCAGGGCACTCTCAGCAGTCTCCATGGGTACTGATGCTGTCTGTTCTTCCCATTTTACGTCAAACACCAGAGCAGCCAGACAAGGATGTGAACTCATATATTACATTACATTACATTACATTATATGACATTACATTAATTGTTTTAGTATGGAACAGATATTTAACATATTCTAATGATAAAAACAACACCAAAAATATGAATCTAAATAATGAAATCTGCTTTTGTGAGTTGCAGATTTTGCAGCATTGGATATGAGTCGAAGTAAAACACCCATCATCTCGTCTGCAAAGGTCTCTCACTACACTGCACATCACATCCTCTGGATTTCTCGTTCAAAATGCGTTTTGTGGCCGCATGCAGCAATGCGAACGAGACGGTGCAGACGAGACCGACAAACATGTAGCGATGCAGAAGTGTTTTGAATCATATGGATGCACAAGGACGAGCATCGTACCTGACACTGCTGCGAAAACGTCTTGTTCCAGATGCGGGCAGCGGCGCACAGTGCGGTCGTGTCACCAGGCGCTGCCTCTCCTCCGCTGGCGCACTTTCGGGTTGTGGCTTTAAAACGGGTTGCCATGAGGCAGATAGCACGGACAACACAGCCCCGAATTTTCAAACAACATTTGAATAATCTAATAAAACACCCAATGCGCTCGTCAAAAATCACTGGGAGTGATTATTGGCATTTTTGTCTTAATTTGGCCCTTTTTTATATCAAGTCTGGTGTAAGGAATACTGGATATATTGAAACACCTCAGAAAGGGGGGTTTTGTCTCATAATGGCAACCTCACAGGACTCCATGGTGAAGTTGAAGTGACATATTTGATGTAATGAGTCTGAGCTATAAGTATCATAAATTAGGAATCAGATTTTTCACCATGTTTCTCCACTATGTCACATTTAAGCAGCGTAATGATTGCACCAGATTCACTTATTTTAAAGAAGCAACTTCTTGAGTATTTCATATTTGCACAAAACACAAGCACTGGAGTAATAATAATAATTCTTTATTGTGTAATAGATATTGAAAACTATCTAGCGCACAGTATCCCCCTCATTTTCACACAATCACAACTGAATCCCACTTCTCTCGCCACTAGAGTTTCTCAGCGGACTACAACGGGCGTTATGAAATTTCCGGCAATTGCAGTGATTAGTCGATTAATTTGTTAATCATTTGTGTCATTTTTTTCAAACCTAAAATGTCGAATATTCCAAAGTGAGAATTTGCTGCTTGTTCTGTGTTATATTGCTGTGAATTTAATATTTTTTAATTTGGGAACAAAACAATAAACCTGAAGAGGTCACCTGAGGCCCTGTGATGGCCATGTGCTGTAATTCTGTGACACACTATAGAGAAAACAACAAATTATTAAATCTGCAAATTAAACAGTTAGTTGCACCACTAGTATATATCACCTTATGTAATACTGAGCTGACTCTACCAGGATGTATAAAGTCTTGTTCCCTGTGTCAGGCGTTAGAAATTGTCTGCTCACTCAGCATGCAGAGACAACTGCTCCTCATAAAGAGCAGAACACAACCAGAGAGTCGGCTGCAGTCCAACAATGTTCACCTTTTTCAGTTGTTGTTTCTTGTTTATTTACGTCGACGGTTTCAAGTGCAAGTCTCTTCAAAAGCATGGATCACACTGTCGTACGCAGGAGGGGGAGTCTGTGAGGGGAGGAAGCCTTTAAGTCCATTGCCCCCCAACCAGAAGGAGTGTCTCTTGTTTGGCACCAGTGATGCTGAATCCGATGAGATGGAAGCCACCGTATCCTCAGGCATGCTGACCTGCGTGTCCTCGGCCATCTCCAGGCCGGCCCTGCTCCTCCTGGGCAGAGGCCGAAAGGTGGAGGTGTCTGCACCGGGCTTGCTCCCCAGAGGACCCACCGGCTCCAGGGACGGCTGTCTGTACACACTCAGGAATGTGCTGCGGTAAAGGCCCATCTGGTTGCTCGTGGGGTTATTGGTTTGTGAGGTGCCAGATTTCTTTATGGAGCGTCTGGTGATCCTGGCGGTGGCCCGGCGCCTGGACGCCCAGGTCAGCAGAACGTAAACCATGGCACCGAGCAGCAGGCCCACGAGGACAGATAAACAGAAGGCTAGGATCATATCACCTGGAGTGTTGGAAAAGGGAGATAAAGCCGGATAAAAATAAAGTTGGAAATGATTAGTGGAGTGTGAGGCTATACATGTGTTGTTGTGTTGTTCTAAAAATAGGTGATGATTATTTCCTTAGCTGCATTTTAAGCTTGGAGTAAAATCTTATTTATCATAGAGAAGAAATGTACATCTGCTGCAGGAAGTGCATCTCAGATTTGATGTAGGAAACGTTGCTCTGCTGTATTGATTTATCATTGGTAGGTACATCTAAACTGGGCTCTGTGTTATATAAAATCTTACATCATACCTGCTGTGTGGGTTCACTGTCTATCCAGTATCGTGGAGCGCAAACTGACCATATCATCACTGTGACACATTCAACTGAACTCCAACTTTTATTGATTTTTGTTTTTCACCAAATGACAAATGCTCAGGATATTGATTCATTACTTGAAATTGATTACAAGAGTTTCTCAGGAAAGTTGTGATAGGCAAGTGAACAGATGTGTTGTAGTGCTTCATAGACTTCAAGACACTTCAACATGTTAACAGGTTTTAAGATTATAAATAAAAAAGGAAAACTCCATACATAGGGTTTAAAATAGAACATCTGAAACAAGTTAAAATGGAATAAAACAAAAATCCACAGAGAAGCGAAATACAAATATAAAGGTTTTCAACCTGCGATATGAAATAAATAACAATTGTGTGGTGGAAATTCATTTCAAGTGTGGTCCATACTACTTTTTTTTAACCTTGGCGACAGTCAGACTTAGCAGAAACATATTTTTCTCCTAAAGTTGTTCAAAGCTTTATTCAAAGTCACTTTCCTTATTTTCCACTGCGCTCTGGAAGTCTGAAAACCTGTGTGGAAGTAGCTCTCAGAGACCCAGTTTGGTTGATAAAATTGATTTTCAATTGAACAAAGATCACATCTGCATTAACAATACGATGATTTTACTGATAATATGATAACCATGCAACTCTTAAATATTATAGGCTACAGCTTCGCAAAATGGTCCCTGGATTTCTACAAGAAAAATGCAGATACACTCACCAAGATTAAATGATTTTAGTATTTCCGAAAATGGATGGGTTTCATTTTGTGCCATTATTCCACCATAAGCTTGTGTTAGATTCCACATCGACTCCAAGCAGACAGATGAACACTAAGCTTTTTCCAAGACAGGGCTTTTTGGCTTTTCCCTCCCTATAGTGTTTGCTATGGCGGAAACTTTGCTGTCATGCTTCCTTCCCTCTCTGGCTTTAAAATTAGCAAGTGCATTGCTTATCTGTGTGGGACATAACACTGGGAAACAGGGTTGTTTCCTTTTGCATCATTTCCTAAGCATCAGTACTTTGTAACAATTGCCCCCACTGCACACATTTTGTAAAGAAAGGCTCATTATGTTTACAAAATGTATTCCTTATAACACACATGTTCGTACTATGACTGTGAGGTTAAATTAAAAGAAACTAGACCCAACAATAAATACAATCCTTGCTCTGACGTGAAAAATAAATCCTCTGCAATGTTTCCAAGTATCCCAATAAGTTTCTGGATAGGCTAACCCATAGAAATCTAACCATCAGCTGGAGAAAATGCAGGCTATCAAGCTCTCAGTGGGGATTTCCTTCCATTGTTGCTCTGTTTCCACCTCAGTCCTGACCTCAGAGTTTTCATAACACCGCAACTTTCTGCAGCCCTTCTCCCAACTATATCCCCTTTCTAGTGAATTATACATACGTTTTAATTACATCTGAGGGTTTATTATATGATGTAAACTCCCCCATGTTTTAGTTAAGAGGTTCACATGACAGAGTTGTCCAGCAGGTGCCAGTAAAGGACTGCAATTTTGAGCAATTACCAGCCTTTTTGTTGTAGACATGTAAAGTTGAAGTTGATTGAATTGATAGCTCATGTGTGGGTCAGTATGTTGGTGGGTGGTGAAGTTGTTTTGAACAAATATACGTTTGAAATGAAATTATTATTGAAATCTATTAATGAAAATTCCTAAGTCCTAAATATGTTTGGACAATGACCTCACATGGCCTCAGTGGGATGAGGTATATATTATTAGTGGGAGCAGTAGTCATCAGATTCTTATAGTAAAATGACCAATACAAATAAATGGCTCTCCAATATTAAAAGTATATTCTTCCTATCCTTAAAATGTATTAAATTTATCAAAAAGCATGTGGCTGTGTGAACATCTAATACTGACCATACACTGAGGAGGACAAACACTAAAACCCCTGAAATTAAATAATAGACTTTTCATTGAGGGGGAATGAGTATAATTTAAGAAAGTACGTGATATCATTTCCATATGTCATAACTGGACTGGGGGGGGGCACATGTATATCATCTATGGATGATATACATGTGCAGTACAATACATACCATCCACTATATAGTATTCAGGGGCAAATTCTGTATATTAGGCCTTTAACAGCATAGACTCTAAAATAATACACAAACTGTGTTTTAAAATTTAATTTTGTTAAGTAAATGCAAACAAAGAGAAAGAATTCTACTCGAGCACATTAGATATCAGGAAAATTAAAGATAAACCTACGTAAAATAAATAACTATTGAAAACTAAAATGTTTGTTGTTTGTTTTTCGCCGAAGCTACTGAGACAAAGTACAGATCGATTTATTTTGTCAATGTGACATTTAGCAAGAGATTCATATATTTTTTATTTTATATGTGGGACATGTTTGCAGTGGAAGCTCAAAGTTGCACACATCATTGTACCAGACAGAAAAAAGAAGAAGAAGAATGTGTCCTCAGTTTGTTTGGGAGACAACATGGACTCAAGTGGGATTCACAGCAGGTGAGTGGTGATTACCCAGGATTCCTGTCGGCTGCAGAGTGAGCTCTTTTTTGGAGGCCAGGAAGTGGCACACACTCACACACACTCACACACACTTCCTCTTCCTCTTCCTCCTGCATCTTGTCTCTGTCACAAACTTCTCTTCACGCCTCCATGTTTCAGTTTCACCGTTACCCATGGCAACCAGGCAACACATACACAGAGGAACACTTCCGGAGAAAGTTGGGATGCTCCGCAGAGCAAACAGAGGTGAGAAGACATGTTTCACCGAGTGTTTCCTTCAGAGGACGGTGTCTGTGGCTGGGTTCTTTATTTCAGCGTCACTGGAGTCGTGTCCTGTTTTTAATGGACGCTCGCGTGTCGCTTCTTCTTTTGGTTTGTGGTGTTTGGTGACTTCCTCTCGAGCGGGAGGTGCGCTAACCTGCAGCACACCACCTACCTGGTCATATTATTAACATATATTTATTATCTTCGAATATCTTAGACAACGGACCACAAAGTCATTCAAGGGAAACATTCGTGTCAGACCTCGACACGAGCTCCTTCGTAGACACTTTACTTCCCCTTTGAAAGTTCTGAAGTGAGAAAGTTTGCGATTCAAAAAAAAAAAAGATAGTTACACCATGTAGAAGCCATTTTACTTTGTATGCAGCCTTTGGTTGTTGTCCTGTTGCATACAGTTTTTGTGTGTTTACATTAGATGTGTGCCTTTAATTATATTTATGCATCCTTGTAAAATGTCTTGACTTTCTGCAGCCACATGAAATATAAGGTTAAACCTCTTTATATACAGTCTATGGGTTAAACACAAGTGTTTCTACTGACTTTCATTAATTCAGGTGCTTCAAACAGGTGCCACGGGTAATTTTTGCCATGCCTCTGTTTGAGGCCGCAGCATTAAGAGACATCTGTGCTTTTCTCACTGTAATATGTCACAATGTCTTCTGTGGGGGGGGGGGAGCACGTGGATAATTTCCCAACAGATCCAAAAAAACACTGTACAATACAATGGTTTCTTGAAAGTGGGCTTAAAGACAAACTGCACTGAAAGAATCGCCTGAGAAAAGGTGTGGCCTCAATTTGAAACCCCATTAACATGCTTCTCTTTTGCAGGCAGTGAATGGAAGAAGTGCTTCTATTGGATAGTAAACCTGCCTGTCCCTGCATGAAACCTGAGATTCAATAGGGCCTGGTCCTGCAGTGAAATTAGAAAGAGAGAGAGAAGAGAGAGGAGGAGAGGGAGTGACAAGAGGAGGGGATGTCCCACTCAGGACTGTTCGATCTTCTGTGACCCACCTTGTCATAGAGCTGCGGCGAGACAACATGGCCTCTCCCAGGTTCTTGGGCCGGACGTCAGTGGACATTGCTAATGTGATGCAAAAGCTGCAGGGTAAGTGTCAGATTTTGGCTCAGTTGGGTTAAGGACAAAACATTCTCTCCTCCAGCGCTGCTGCACAGTGATATTGTGCTGATTCAAGGACTGGGCTTCGTGCCCATCTGAAGTTTGCCAGCTTTTGCAAGGCAGGATGCTCAAGCACTAATGCTTAGATACAAGCCCTCTAACATAAGAGCATTTGGGCGTACTGTTAGAAAAGTCTTTGTTGAATTACTGCTTTTCTTTACCTTTTATTGCTTTTGAGGATTATGATGATAGGAGATTCTTCTAGTTAAGGGTTTGTCTGTTTTCAGTATGCTCTCATTTTTGTTGCTGGACTGAAATACACCAAAATATAGGGTATGTTTTTAAGAACTGAAAAGTTGCACACATTGCCTAACCCTATGATCTGGTAGCATCTTAATCACACATGCAGATAATTGGGTTTACCATGCATGTGATATCTTTTGTCGCCAGGTTTTTCCCCAAAATGGCACATAATCTTATTTGGTATAATAAGACATTTTCTGTTCATTCTTGTGACATCTTGTGACCAAACTAAAAAAGACATATGACACTGTGTTGAAGCTCAGATGTGGAAACTGTGAAAGTATTTAGAGCAACATAATTTTATTCAGTAAATATTGTGAAACTCATGATCTTGACCCATGATTCCGATCTGTCTCCTGTCTTCACATCTTTAAATCAGATTTTCAGTCAATAGTAGCATGCCAACATTTTTTGGGCGTGCATCTTCCCATTGTGTCATTATCCCAGTATCACAAATGGGAAAGAACTTGATGCTTGTCGAACCCATTTTTTTGCAGAAATATTATAATTGTTTTCTTTCTTGAATCACTTTGAGTTAGTAAAAGTGAACGTAGATCAAACATCATCACAAACATTTAATCTGCTCTGAGTCTTGACATGAGACACTGAGTCACCACAACTGCAGCTTCATGAATGCACAGACCATGCACCGAACAAGATTCAAACCTGACTCCCTCTCTGCCCTTGGTAAGAGAATGGATCAATAGCAGGAGTCTCTTTTTGTTGGTGTCCCCCTTTTGTTGCGAGGGCAAAAGGCATACTACCATCACTATACATGTCTGGTCATTTCTGGCATCCGCTTCAGCTCAGTTCAGATGTATTTCTGAATATACTGTATACCAGGAAATTTTGCACGTTGTAGCTTGTTACCATAGCGACTATTACAAAACATTTTTCTGTGGTTGTGCCACTGTTGCCCAGTTCCTGCTGCAGAGAGACTTGGGTTTCCGGTGTGCTACACAGCTATCTCCATTACTCATTATCAATATATATTTTAAGCTTAAGGTGTGTCATTTACCATCCTCTTACTGGCATGAATGATTATATAAGCTCACTTAAAATCAATTGAAGCTTTTATAAGTCTCTCTAAGTAGATATTTTCTCATAGACATGAACCTAACTTGCTCTTTGCTTGTGTTTGCTGAAGAGAATAATCATAATTCAATATAAAAAATTTAAATGACAGCAAAAACATAAAGATGTCTTTGCAAAATTAATGTCTCTGTTTTATCATACAAACAGTTTACATTCTGCGTGGGTGGAATTACCTGAACGGTGCTCAAATTGCATTATCAGCAAAGTTGAGTACCAGTCCCTGTTGCATGCTTCTAGTCTGACATTATTGAGCCACTGGTTTTAGGTGCTCCACAGATGAAGAGCAGTGAGACAGTCTGGCTTTGGTAGAGCTGGTATTTAAATGCAACTTCCTGTCTTTAAAGGCATCCTACATTGAGGGTCACTGCACACTCACTGCACTTTGAGCAAAAGTCTGTCTGAAAATCTGCAATCTAGTGACTGCAGACTCATTATGTGTTGAATGAAATACTTTTAATACTGCCATCATGCTACAGGAGCATTTATCTGTTTGGTTTGAGGGCCACACTTTGCAACCTTAAATTCCCTT